ATAATCACTCACATCTATTCTTTGAAAAATTCTCTGAGAAGTGTTCGTCAATTTTTGTTTACATCCTCCTTCAGAAATTATACACTAAGACGTATAGCTTTATGCCTATCTTTCCTGTGTGAGGTTTACAGAAAAACCAGAGCTTCATTTTTATGTCTATATTTGAGAGATAATTCTTGTAGCTTTCTGTGAAAACAAAAACACATTCTTTTCAACCTTGTAAGAGTGTAGTACACTCAGTGTTCTTGACTTAGAAAGTCTGTGTAAAATCCGTGGAGGATTGCTCCATTTGTAAAGAGGTTGTTAGCACTCCCGTGAAGCTAGAGCATAGTGGAAAATCTCAAGTGAAACTTGAAGAGTGGACATAGGCCGAGTTGAAGTCGAACCATTATAAATTTGTTTGCCTCTCTCTCCCTTATCTCTTTATTTCATTTAAATTACCATAGCTATATTTCACATTTTCATTATGCTAAAATCATTAACTGACATAGTTGTTAGAACACTTGTTTTAATTATTTTTATTTCATTAACGATATTTATCTATTGTGCTAGTCATAATTTTTATTAGAATATTATTATTTTTATTTGTAAAAACATAATTCACCCCGGCCCTCTCTGAGGTTGTCTTTTGGGTAACACAAACAAACTAAAAAAATTTCTAAACTCTTTCTTTCCCGAAAAATTCTTCGGAAAATTTATCGCCCAAAACCCAACCAAACAAGGTCATAAATTCTTCCTTACTTACCTATATTCCACTTACTCAACTTTGTTTTCTTATGTTTCAATACTGTTTTTCTTATAGACAAATGGCAAAAAAAATCCAAATAAATCCACTTATATCCCAATATAATGAAACATTATAAGAAAACATAAGCTCCGTTTAGGAAGTGGGTTGGCTTTTTGATTTTTTTGAATTTTTTGGCTATTTTAGCCTGGGGCTAAAAAGCCTGGTTTGGGAAGGACTTTTGGCTTTTTTGACTTTTTTGTGAAAAAAAGAATGTAATGATTATGGGTTGGATGTGATGTTTTGTCTTATTGGGCTAAAAAGCGTATTTTGTTTTTTGTGGCTATTTTAGCCAAAAAAAGTTCTAAACCAACTTCCTAAACGGAGCTATAATGAATGAAAATAATTAATTAATTAGTTTCACTAACACAATAACTTATAAAAATATCTTAAATGATTATAAATATTGTCAAATAACTTAAAATCTAAAATACAAACAGATCAATATTCTGAACAACCAAAAAAAACATACAAACAGATCGAGAACAACTTACAACTTACCAGCAAAAGCTTTTCAGATATACTGCTGCTGTACTTTCAAGTTTTTTTTCCTCAATGAAATGATAATATAATTTCAACGAGTAGAGGATTTCTTACCTTCATTTTCGGAGGCCAACAATTCTGATGTGTTGGCAAAAATGCTTGTGTTGTCCAGTGGAATATTTTTTCATTTTCTTTTCACGTTACGGTGCCAACCTCTTTCACCATAAGGAAATAATAGAGGGTATTGAAGAGGATCATAGCAGCCATGGTAATGCATAACGCGTTGGCTACAACTTGATTTTTTACGTACAAAAATGTCGTTAGTCTTATTGTTTGTGGACTCTTCTTCAACCCATATTGCTGTAACTTGTGAAGCTGACGATGCATTTTAGGTTTTTTGATCGAGGCAAGGATCTGTTTGAATGGCAATATTGCATTCCTTGTCAATATCAACATCTTTTAAGCTGCATAAGAATTTTGCATAGGGATTTTCTAACAAAATGTGCATTATTGACTCGATGATATCTACACAAAATTGTGGTGCATTTTCCGAATGATGTTGCAATTCATGCTTAGTGTCATAGAAATAAAGTTGGAAGTATTTGCATCTTGTATCAAGTGGTTGCAAACTATTGATGTAGTGATATATTTGACCTTGAGCTCGAAAAGTATATATGCCATTTTTCCTTGTTGCAACCTTGCTATCAAGTTTGACATCCATAGATGTGAAGGCGAACAAGTTGTTGTATGTTCGAATATTTGCACGAAAATATTACCTATCCTCATCTTTGGATGTCATTAGGTGATATAAGGCCAATGGTGGTTGGTTGCAAGTAAGTTGTATTTGACCTTGCGAACAGCATAACCCTCTAGGCTCATACGGAAAAAGTGTTGCACCATAAAATCTACAAGAAGATGTTGGAGGAAGACAGGAAGCAAAAGTTGGAGGAAAAGGCATCCTATTTACACTTCTCTGTGTTCGTTCACAGCCAACCAACAATGATAATTGTTAGTATGTCAAGTCTTGATCAAAATGTTATAGAATACATTAGAGGTCAAGTTTTTTGTTGTGGGAACATACGCTGATGCTTTTTGGTACAAGTTATGGTTATCTTGCTATTAGATTTGTTCGCCTGATAGTTTAATGAATCTCTCGAATGGTTGGCATATGAAGGAAGCATTCCTAGAATTATGATAGTAAGTGGAATATACAAGTAGGGTGTATTTTGACAAGTGGTAAATAGTGTTTATACATTGGTATGGAAATATGAAGTTATTGAGTCATATGGATTGAGAAGTAATTTGATTCTGAAGAAGCTGCGATGCCACCAGTTGAGCAACCCTCATAGCAAAAATTTTCAGTTGGGGCCGCAACAGTTGAAGGCACATCTGTATAACATTTGAATTAGATGTTATAGATGAGAAGAAAAATCATAGAGCAAAGCTACAAATATGTTTGGCTCTTTCTTGTGAAGGCTAGTCAGACAATAGGTTTGTAGGTTTGTTTATTCTATTGCATCTGATAAAACATTGTATACCTTTATCATTGCCAAACATTTTGTTGCATAATTGTTATTCTTTTGCTCGTTGACGATTTTCCCTTCGCTGTTGTAATAGTTGTTACTTGTGTTCACTTGTTAGTGTTGAACGGTATGCGCACTGGCGTTGGTGATTGTGTTCACGTTTACGAGCTGGGAAATGTCAACTGGTTAATTGTGAACATATTAGTGAAGCAAAGTATGTCGATGTAGTTATTTAGCGTACCTTGTTGTTCTTCAAATAGGCTTTCTCGAGTTTTGACTAAATGATTATTTATATTGTTTGAGCTAAAGTCTCAAGTACACCTACATTTAATTATCAATTGTGTAGCATACATTTACAACAAATCAATAATGAATTTGTTAAGCTAGTAAACAATTAGAAGCTAAACCAAGAAATACAATTTCAATTGAAGAAAGAAATGCATGTTTAACAAGAGCTAGCCAAAGGGTCATATGTTAATTCTACCATGTCAACTTATTGAATGTTTAACTTGTAATATAGGATCCATTCGTCTTCAATGTTTGGGGTGATATTAATTACTTTTTTTTTTTCATTTTTTTCAAGTGCTTTATATTTTTATAGCTATTTGAAGTTGAGAATATGATCTCCATTGTTGGAAGTGTGTTGCTTCAAAGTAGGGAAAAATCAATTGTCAATTTTGTATGTTGTTTAGTTCTTGAATAGATTGTTGCTAAACATCCTAATCGACAACATGATTTTCATCTCCTCTAATGTAGAGCAAAATAGAAGAGCATATTTCACTTTCTCTAAGGCCACTTAGCATTATTTCTTCATTTCTTATTGGTGAAAAGATAGAATATCTATTAGATGTGGGGGTCGAGCTACAATTTCAATATAAATATTTTTTAAAATTATGTTTGGTTTATGAATTTGAGAAGTGAAATGTAGTTATATTTTGTATCCAATTTGTTTATCTCTTCTTTTTCTCTTTGCCAATTTCTTCTCAAATTAATAAAAATATGAACATAGCTATGTGTCAAATCAGATGTAAATATATGTATGTGGGATATTGGGTAGTGGATGATTGGCATTTCTTTAGCTTGAATGTGTTCTAACATAAATCAATGAACCTAATTAGCATATCTTAACATACTCTGTATTCACATAAATTGAAGACAATGGATTCACCTTATTAGCCTAACCTGCAGTTTTACGATTTCAACAATTGTGTTTTGAATTTTAACTAATGTTCTCTCAATTTGTACATAAGGAACCTTTTTTTAGCCCCAAATTTTTAGATTTGGTTTAAGATTTGGGGAACCTTTCTTGACAACTGATTTGGTTTCAGATTTGGGGAATCTTCTTTCTTTTAATATCTTTGGCTCTAGAAATACTTTGAAGCTGCTTAAATAATAATGGTAAATTGAGTTATGTTTTTGTTTTTTTATATAGCTAAAAAACTTCAGGGGTGATGAGACGATGGGAGTCTTACAAAGTGAGACTGAATTTATAATTTCTTAAGGAATCCTAAATAATTTGAAGATCACTATGCATTTTAGGCCATTTATTGATTTAAATGGTTGTGCATGTAGTTATATTTTTGGCATTTTATGTCCCATTCAAAAATCAGAAACATAAAGAAGAAAAGAAAGCCATTAAAGACTGATGGATATTTAGGAAACAAAAGACTAAGGATAATGAGAGAAGCTAATTTCGTGACTGCAGAAGGCCGATTTTATTGAGCAACAAACTGTCTATTTATACAGCATAATGAAAACTGAATTGTAGAAAAATCTGCTCTATGTTGAGCATAACAAATGCCTAAAAAATAGCATGAAGAAAAGGTCATAATCCTAACAAATATAACTAATTCGGCAATCCTAAAGAATAGCAACAAATAAAACTAATTCAGCTTCATGGGTCATGCCAGTCAACACTCCTCCTTGACTCTGAAGCGGCATACACCAAGCTTCTGCCTCAAGAATTCATATCTAATCTTTGGAAGTGCCTTTGTTAGGATGTCCGCACTTTGATTTTCTGTTTTGTAGTAGATCAACTGCACTTCTCCTTCCCTTTGTACCTCTCTTAGAAGATAAAAGTTTATCTTGAAGTGTTTTGTTTTGCCGTGGAACATTGGATTATTAGCAATTGAAATTGCAGCTTGGTTGTCCACAAATATTTGTGTGCCTTCTTGTTGTTCCATATGCAAATCTGTCATGAGTTTCCTGTTCTAAGAAGCTTGATTAACAGCAGCAGCAGCAGCTACATATTCTACTTCTGCTGTGGATTGAGCTATGACTGTTTGCTTCTTAAAACACCATGAAAAAATTCCAGAACCAAAGTTAAAACAGTAACCTGAGGTGCTTCTCATGTCATCAACACATCCAGCCCAATCACTATCAGAATAACCATGGAGACTGAAGTTTTTAACTTGACTAAACCTTATTCCATAATCAATTGTGCCCTTAAGATATCTAAGAATTGTTTTTCCTGCTTGAAAATGAATTTCACTATCACAGTGCATATACCTTGATAGCGAACTCACTGCGTGTATGATATCTGACCTGGTTGTAGTTAAATACATTAGGCAGCCTATTAGGCTCCTGTACGGCCTTTCATCCACCTTTTCAGCTCCATCTTCTTTGCAAAACTTCTCCTTTTGATTCATTGGAGTTGCAGTTGGCTTGCACTCTTCCATGCTGAATTTCTTGAGGATTTCCGTTGCATATTTATGCAGACATAGAAAAATTTCATTTTGCTTTTGATGTACCTGCATGCCAAGGAAGAATGTCATCCTCCTAAGGTCTGTCATTTCAAAGACATCTTTCATTTCTTCTTTAAACTTGTCAATCAACTCCTTACTACTTCCTGTAACAAGTAGATCATTAACATACAGAGATACTACAAGTATTTCATCATCAACCTTCTTGATATATAAAGTAGATTCACTCAGACTTTTTTCAAAGCCTAAGTTCACTAAGTGTGCATGAGTTCTGCTATACCAGGACCTTGGTGCCTGTTTTAAACCACACAGGGCTTTTTTTAGTCAACATACATTCTCCTCTTGTCCTTGAAAGGCAAACCCTTCAGGTTGATCCACAAAAATTTCTTCCTCCAAGTATCCATTCAAAAAAGCTGACTTGACATCTATCTGGTGTATAACCCAGCCTTTTTGTGCAGCAAGAGCCAACAACATCCTTATGGTATCCAACCTAGCAACTGGGGCAAAAGTTTCAGAAAAATCTACCCCAAACATCTGGGCATATCCCTTGATAACAAGTCCTGCCTTGTACTTATTTATAGAACCATCAGGATTGAGCTTGGTCCTGTAAACCCACTTGACTACTATAGCTTTCTTGTGTTTAGGTCTATCTACCAACTCTCATGTTTGATTCTTTTCAATCATCTTTAGCTCCTCTTTCATTGCAACTATCCACTTCTGATCAGTTACAGCTTCTTTATATCCTGCAGGCCCCATTACAGCAACATTACACCTCTGATAAATATCATAGAGTGATCTAGTTCCTCTAATAGGTTCATCATCCACATCATCATTCTCCTTCTGAATCTCAAGCTTCTTGTCATTCTCCCAACTTTGGTTATCTAACTCAAGAAATTGAACATCCCTGTTGATAATTACTTTGCTGTTTTGTGGTAAGTAGATCTTGTAGGCCTTTGAAATTGAGCTATAGCCTACAAAAATCCTAGATTCTGCTTTCTTGTCCAACTTGTCTCTTTTAACTTGAGGGATATAAGAGAAACATAGGCAACCAAATGTCTTCAAATTAAGCAACTTAGGTTTGTATCCAGAACATGTTTCAAATGGAGTCTTTTTCTACAAAGCTTTTGTTGGCAATCTGTTTAGCAGAAAAACTGCTATATTTACAGCCTCGGCCCAAAATTTCTTTGGAAGCAAGCACCTTGTCATCTCCATAATTGTCTGGTTTTTTCTCTCCACAACACCATTCTGTTAAGGAGTGTAAGGTGCTGTCAGTTGATGTTCGATGCCTGCATCTTCACAAAACATGTTAAATTTTTCAGAGGTATATTCAGTTCCATTATCAGACCTGATCACCAGCATTTTGCATCCGCTTTGAGTTTCAACCAAAGCTTTAAACTTCCCGAAGATGCCAGCAACCTCAGATTTAAGCTTCATAAAATAAATCCAGCACATTCTTGAATAATCATCAATGAAAGCAATATAATACTTACTGTCATTCAATGTTGGTGTTTTCATTAGTCCTTCCACAACTCTGTGTATTAATTGCAGCCTCTGTGTAGCCCTCCAAGCCTTGTTTTGTGGAAAAGGAAGCCTGGTTTGCTTCCCATACTGAAAGGCAACACATTTAGGAGGCTCCTCCTCCAATTCAGGCAAGCCTTTCACCAGATTGTTCTTCTTCATGAAAAGTAGAGTGGCATGATGAAAATGCCCCAATCTCTTGTACCAAAGCACGGTATTGCTATCTTCTTTATGTACAGCAGCCTGCTCTTCTTTTATCAAATCCAAGGCAAAGCTTTTGCATTCCATTTGAACTTTGAACACCTCTATGACTTTTGAATCTTTAATCACACAATTTTTTTCTTCAAACAGCACCTTATAGCCTTTTTCCAACAACTGAGTAACACTCAAAAGGCTTTGTAGACGTCCCCCAAACGTCCCAGGAGGGAATCCCATTTTGTTCATTTGGGCTCACTATAGTTCAGGACTCAAATTGTCACGGTTCTAAATCTGAACCAAAGAGTCCAAATCCGGCAAATCGTTTTTGAAAATAGATTTTTTGTAAAGAAGTGCCAAACATGGACTGCTTTGCCAGATACAGAGTCGCCACCTAAATATTTTATTGGGAGAATTTAGGAAACCCTGACTCGTTTGCCTAAGGCCACGTGTCCATCATCACCAAAGTTGCCTCGGCTCGGGAACTAGGGTACGATTGGGGAAGGTCAGCTATGAGCACCCCCTCTCGCCCAATCAAAGATCGGTCTCTACTAACCATGATATTTAGTTTTGAAAACATTATGCATTCTTATTCCGATTAATTAGCTAATCTTACTATGTGATGCGCACAACACAAAAGTATAGACTAGATCGCCTGATTTGGAACAAAGCATCACATATCCGTTTGTTTGGAAATCGGTCTGAAATTTGCTTCTCGTAAGTAGGCTAAAACATGGATTTCGACGAGTTGTTCCAACTCAAAAAATCCAACTTTCACCCACAGGCATTCAGGCAGATATATCACATAAGCATATAGCCACATGGTAAGCATGTTATCATGTTAACACTTACACTCATGCAAGGATGCTAAAACATAAATGCTTACTGAGTACTCAAAGCCAAAACAAAAACTAGTTAATAATCATATGCATGATCCTAGTTCATGTTAAGATGGCTAATGCAACACATGCAAGATGAAACTACAATAGACTCGGCTATTCTAAGATAGCATATGATGATGCTACAACTAACACGTATTCAACTTGGAATTGAAATACAATGCAGTTAGTATGATGCGCTGAGCCCGGTGCATACAATACTGATGAATGAATGCACGCATGCATAGCATAAGGTATGCTAAATTAAATATGTCCTAGTACTAACCATCAAAAACAGGTAAGTAAAAGGGAGAAATAAATGGGGGTTGGAAGACATGCACACACACACCCACACTTATTACACATTCGCCTTCGCTCGGAGGGACCAAAAGAATAATACAAACCGAATAATGAACCAACTATCCCAGCTAATTAATTATTACAAAACTTCTAATTAATTAACAAATTAATTACAAAAATAGCCTAAATATGAAACTAAAGAGACCGCCGCAGCTTTGCCTTGGAATGCGTGGATGATGCATGCTCAATTTGCCTTGCCCGGAAACCCACTGCCATGCCATTGTTGCCTCTATTTGCACTGTCCTATATCTCTGAGGACTGTGAAAATCCTGGAGATGCCTCTGAATTGCTCCCTGAGCATTGTGAGAAGCCACTGACCAAGGCATAAGATCACCGGCCATTGATAAATGGTCATCGACCAATTGTTGAGCCATCGGCTAATTATTTTTGGTCGGTCAGTACTGTAGGTAGACGGTCGGCCTAATCTTCCTGCAGGAATCTGTTTTGACAGCAGCAGAGGACAGACAAGGCATGGCATGGAATTTTCAAGCAAATGTGCGCATGTCCACTCTCCCTATCATGTTATAGACTCAAGGGAGTGTGGCCCTTGGTCCTCGGGCCACCAATCACGCATTTCGATGCATGATGGCCAAAGGCACCAAGTTTGCAAATCAATGTGAATGCATGCGACAAAACAAATGAACGCTTTACACCCTATTATGTTGAGGTTAAGGGCATCGGCGACCGAGGGTTGAGACGTGTTTCATCACTTTGAGTACGAACACACCTCACCCCTCATACTTGCTTTGACACCCCAAACCAAGCAAAATGTAATGCATGTATGCAATGTGGCTCAAGTATGCAACATGGGTCAAATATGCAACATGAGGCTAAGTTAACAAAGCATGCCAAATGCAATGCAACCTAAGCATGCAAATGTACAATGTGCTAAGCATGCAAGATGCAATGCAATGCAACCTAACATGCAAGCTAAACTAATGTAACAAGAACATGCAAACACGGTATAATGCAAGCATGCAACTAGAGGCAACATGTCAAACATGCAACTATGTACAAGGATGGATTTAAACTGAAATGGGAGGCCTCGGCCATGCCCCAAAATAGTGGCCAAAACACCCAATTTAAGGGACCAAAAGGGGAGACGGATACACACACAACATTGGCCCATAAGCTAGACCACTATGCACAGCATTCAAGCATGAGCAAGATGGAGTAAACATGAGGATGTGGCAATACAACAAGCTCTGAAATCATGTCAATAATGCTACCAAATCATGCACCTAAGGTGAATAAAGCATGCTAAAGGACTTAAGGTTCAAAGCTAGTCAAGATACTTGAACTAAGGCCATATCAACCAAGCCCCGCAAGGCCAAGATGACTAAAAATAGACTTAGGGTAGACCAAAATAAGACTAGAACATGCATGGAACATGGTCAAAACATGCCAAGAAATGGGCCCAAAACAAAGGGCATTCAAAGCCACAAGGAGGGCACTCTACTACAACCACCTCAACCGCTCATGGCATGGACTAGACAACCAAAAACAAAGTTTCAATACATCAAAATGCACCCTAAACCCACTAATATGGCAGCCCAATGCCACAAACACATAGGCATGCACCAAGGCCCTAACATGGAGCGTAAGATCACATCTCTTCAAGGCATTGAAAGGGTCGCAAATGCAAGCATGTAAGCACAAAACATGGACTGAAATGGCATAATAAGTGATTCCAAATCACTGAAATAGCCTAGGTAATGCAAGCTAATGACTCACGCACTCAAGGCTCACAAGCCAAAATGCAAAGAGGCTATACCAAACATGACAAACATGATCAAATCAGCACCCAACAGACCTTAAGCATGATGAAATATGACCAAAAGCCTCATGAAGTCAAGCTAGAACATGCAAGCATGGAGGTCTAAAGGCAAGATGCATTTCTAAGCAAAATAGAGGAATACAAGGCAAGTATATTATGCATGCAAGGGGTCAATAAACCAACATAGAACAGAGGTAAAACATGCTAAATAAACTCTAAATAACCTCTGAAACAAGACCAAACAAAACTAAGCATGCATACTACCCTTATGAGCCAAAAACATGAACAAATGAGACACAAAGGAAGAGGGGTGTCCCTCCCCTATGCAAGACTTCAAAACCTCTTCTTCACCACTGAAAATCCTTTGGACTTCAGTGGTGAGAAGGCCAATGCACAAAAGTATTCAAAGCTCAACCAAAGAAGGCACAAAAGGGGCCAAACAAGGCCTAAGAGGAGGAGGTCGACCCCAAACACAAAAGAGACTTTAATGAAACATCTTAAGCATGAAAAATCAGAGTTTTTATCAGTTATACACAAAGCTCAAAACCGCATGCAATGTAGGTTAAAAGCTAGTGCAAGATTGGGGAATATAAAGCAATAGTGTTTACCATTGAAGAACACTTCAAGAACAGCAAGTCCAGCCCCCTTTTTCTGATCAAAACCAACTCAAAACTCCAAGAACAAACTCTCAACACCTCCAAACTGAAGTATGGTGTAATACTAGGTGTCTTAGTGCAAAACTAAGAACAAAACACCCTTTTAGGCCCTCTAACACACACAAATGAAGAGAGAGAGGGAGATATAGA